TTATGCGTTGATAAATATATATATATATATATGTGTATAATATTACGCATAATATTATGACTGCTGATTGGTGTTTTGCTGCTGCCTACTACTTATTATCGCTTGTCAGTATTCTTTTCGAAATATGCGAAGTGCGTGTATATTCCGTCAACACAATACTGCGAGCAAATAAAAAAAAAAAATCCCTTATCATGTGTATGTAGTACTATAGCTATAGTGTATGCCCGGTGTAACAGACGAATCGTACTCCTTATTACATCTATCACAGTATGATAATCTTACAATCATACCCTATAAGTACCAAAATCTTAGGGTATGTCTAACTCCTAAGATTATGTAACAGAAGTGTTCCTAGGATAATCATAGCATTCACAGGTGACAAAAACGATCCTATGATAAATGTACATTCTAAAATCATAAAATGAGGGTACGAGTGTACGATTTTCCTAGGATAATCGCACCACTCTCCGGTATCAAAATTCTAGAATAAAGATACTTCCTTAAAATATATACGGTAGGGTATGATTGTATTATAGGAAAACCGGACTCCCGGTCAAAATTGACAAGAATACGTTTACGAATAGGTTTTCGCCCAATATTTTATAAAGCGTATCGTATAATGCTGGTATAATTGTCCTAAAATATCCTTACCTACCTCCGGTCAAATAGAGTATGATTCTATGAAAGAAAAACCGTACACATGTTTGGCGTTTGACATTCTGGTCAACACCTACGTTTAAATATTGACCAAGAGAGTTAAAGAAGTTTTCAAATATTGTGTTGGCGTAAATATGTGTCTAGGTGAGCAATAAGCCATCGCTACAGTTATTGGCACGTGATTTAATTTAATATCTATTTATGATTGCTACTTGAAGGAAGTCCTCGTTTATATTGGGAAAAAGGTGTAAATTGAATGGGAGATCTTATGAGAATCGCTGCACCGGCATGAGCAGTGTTATCGGGATGGTTTGCATAATTAATCTGGAAATTGAAAATTTGGTATAAATGTTAAAATGGGTCTCTGATATTATAGCTACATCGATTTTTTTTTCCTAACCTAACCTAACTGATATGCATGATAAAATAATATACATATTATATTATATTTTAATTGTATTTGTGTTGTAAAAAAATTGTTGCCCCCCCCCAGATCTTTGCTCTGGTTCCGTGCCTGATTGTAGGTGAGAGGTTGGAAAAGTGGGATAGGGTTCATCCAGCAAAAACACTTATTTGGTCACCTTAATCCTGAGTTACCACCATTCTTACAAACCTTTACGGTTGTAGATACTGTAGGTGGGCTATTGTGTTTGGTTATCCTTTACATCCTATCACTGGTAGTTGTATTTGGTTATCCTTTACATCCTATCACTTGTAGTTGTATTTGGTTATCACTTATTTGTCTTTACCGTACATCTAAATTCTTTGCGTTACTAAATATTAGTATAACTATACACAAAACATTGCTATCGACTACTTTGATTCCACGGCTCTACATAAAGCGGCTCGTGATAGACGCAACCTTGGGTCGCGGATTATTTTGAATGGATCGCCAGAAAATTAAAACGTTGATATACCTAATATTAGTTTTATTTTAGACTACGTGTATAAAATAGTTTTAAAACAATTAATGAAACATTTTTCGTAAATATTATTTTTCTCGACTAACAAGTATAAATTCATATTTTAGTACTTCATGGCTTTTCCATGTTATGAATATACTTTATCGGTCGACATTCACGGAAGTGAATTGATTTTATAAGTTATTTAAATTGAGTCGCATTTGTTTTGGTAGTCATTATCAATATTTTGAACTACGCAATAGGTACCCATTACTCATTTAGTCGTGTATATTACTTAAAATATAAATTGAAGGTAATAGTTTCTTTCCGAATAGGGACAAATGGACGTAGCCGTTCGGACGTGGGGACAATAGAACGTCAAAAAAAAAACACATATATAAATTAATCATTAAACATATTTGTAGTAGAATTTTCTGCTGGTTTATCTATGTTCATAAATTATAAAACCACTGATATTATGTTCATAATACATATTTCCTAAGTATAAGTCGGAAGCTACTTGCTACAAGCTACTTGAAGTAGGTAACGGTCCCCACAACAAATTAAAAAAAAAATGTGTTGATTCGGATAAACAAATTTTAAGAATCGTGCTGAGTTATCAAAGTAGAACTAAAGTATCATTTTTACGCGGAATCGCTCAACATATTTCTTAACATTAATATAACAATGTTAATATTATCTTCTTCTTGTATATAAAATTATCGTGTCACAATGTTCGTTCCCATACTCCTCCGAGACGGCTTGATCGATTCTCATGAAATTTTATATGCATATTCAGTAGGTCTGAGAATCGGCTACTATCTAAGTTTGTATGCTCTGCGATAAGTGGTTCCGGAGTTACGGCCTCTTAAGTCAAAGTATACTAGCACGCACGATATTCAACAATTATTATTTTGCCATGGAGAGATAATATACACTATATGTGGTTATTTTTTATTATTGGTTTCCGTGGCACCCGCGTGCCAATAACAATTGAGAACGGCTGGGCCGATTTGGCTAATTTTGCTAACCTAACCTAACCTATGTACGTGTGTGATGTCTCTTATGCCTTCCTAAACCGTTCATCCGATCGCCACGAAACTGAAAAATGTATCAGATATTTTTCATTGCTTAGCAACCGTATACCTAATTTATATAAGTTTGAAAATAAAAATAAATAAAATAAATTTAAGGGCAACAACGGTTAACTGCAGTAATAGTGACGGATATTGAAACAAGAAATCTAGGGGGGGGAAATCGTTTTTATTACACATTTATTTGGCACGGGCAACGCCGGGCGGAACAGCTAGTAATAATATAATATTTTTGATAATAAAAACTTTTTAAATACTGTACATACATTTTTGACATATTCGTAATTCATTTAATTAGTATAAATAACTATTTTTGATATTGTATTTTAATTGTTATAATAAAAAAATTATTTCAGATTTTTTTACATATTATAATAAATATATAAATAATAAATAAATAAATAAATAAATAATATTGACCGATTTATAATTTTTTTTTTTTTTTTTTTTAAGCCCTATTGTCTCTATTTCCAAATGGCCACGACTAAACGGCTACGTCCGTTTGTCCTAGATCGGTTGTTTTAGTTATGGTAATTGAACAATTAAGTGAGTTGGATAGGGTATGAATAGCCCTTTATTGAGAATTATTTTCAAAAACGTCACATGAAAAATTGAGTAAATAATCTTAGGTCACCAACACACCAAGGTTGAAAACCGCTGGTCTATTATAAAATATGTCTGTATGGTATTGCAGAGTACACTAATTACTAAATAATTCAATGTACTCTGCAATGCCATTCACTCAGACAAACCTACGTCTAATTTTCGTAAATTCGTTTAGCAGCGGCGTTTTTTGGTTTTTTAAATTTGGTGTTAAATAATTTTTTTCTAAATTTTATTTTGTTGAAAATAAATATATTATATTAATACTAAAAACCGCTAGATATTTAAATTGTACAATTTAAAAAATTATTATTATAAGGAGTAACTCAAAATATTAGAATTATTTATATTCCAACTCAATTCTCCTTTCTTTTATTATAAATTTACATGTAACTTTGTGCTTTTTAATGGCAGTATTTAAATGATTAAGTTTTTTTAAACGAAAAACATATACTTTTATCATTTAAATACTGCCATTTAGAAACACAGCGAAAAGGAAATTTATATCTCTATAAATTTAAATGAAATCAGATCAAATCAAATCAATTTTGCCCATCGAGTCGATACGAATATTTTTAACTTAATTACAACAAATAACAAAATTGAAAAACAATAAAAGCATTATTTTCTTATATTTTCTGTTTTTCTTACGTTTTATCCTGGTTTGCCCCAGATATTATGAAAACCGCTTGGAAAATAAAAAAAATGACCTTTCAAAAGTATCATCTGGACGACATTATCTTTCAGAAATTAGAAATTGTGCCGCGTGCATATATCTGAGCAAGATTTCTGGTAGAATTTTTGTACACACTATAAAAAAATAAAAATAAATTTTCTCGCGGTGAATTGTCCGGTCGGTTTATTTTCCGTGCGGTGAATTGTCCGTGAACCAAAATGAATGCCCCTGGATACTAATTGGCTCAACACGGCTCTGACCTTCATATTAAATATACAACAAGCATAGTACTTAACAAATAAAAACTTAAATCGAAAATGACTATAAATAGATAAAAGTCATCAGAATATTCTGAAAATTGAACCGTATCTAGATTATAAGTATTCTGGGAACGTAATAACATGTCTACCGACATTTTTAACTGAATAACAATAAAAAAATCTCGAAGAAAACAGAATCGAAAGTAACGAAACCATTATTGTTGGAAACTTTTCCGTTTTTCTTACGTTTTTCCTAAGTTTTACTCAATAATTATTATGAAAACTACCAGGAAATTCATAAAGTGACTTTCATACGCACCAATTAAACTGCAATATATTATTTCCGCGAAAATGATACACTTGAATTTCGGTGAAAAATTTCTAGTAGAAAAAAATAAATCGAAAAACTTAAAATACCTAATGAAATACAGTTATGTCATAACATCATTGTCGTCAATTGTTAACGCAATCGATTTTACACCGAGATAGGTATTTGGCCATTAGATTTTTGATCATGTGTGTTTTATTGGAATTTTAATGAATAAATCAATATCGATATTTTTTGGAGTTCCCCCTTCCTCCTGTCTTCCCTCAACATACGCGTTAAAAAGTAAAAATCGGTTTCCATAGTTATCAACACAGCGATTTTTAGTCATTATTAAACTTTATTTTTGGTAATAACTATCTATCTAAATCCAGTTAGCGATCACTATACCTATTTGTAGTTAATTTAATACAAATGTATACAAATCAAATAGAATCGGTTCTGCCAACAGACAATAATATGTCCTGCACAGACAGCATTAAAATGTTTAAACAAAAACTTACGAGAACCGTTGACGGTAATTACATAATAAGTGTTAAAGATGTCGTTGACTTGGACAAAACGATTAAATTAGCTTGCATCGACTATGATAAATCCGTAGAAGAAAACCAAAGGTTGAGATACCAAAATAAACACATAGAAACAAAATGTATAGAACTTCAGGTGAAATTGGACGAAGTGAAAACAAATCTATGCTTGGCATTAGATTATAAAGTTGGTGATAATCGAGATGTAATGCATTTGATAAACGTCTGTGTCGCGTTAAACGCCCGCGAAAGCGAACATCAGTACATCCTGGAAGAAAAGAACAAGTTAAAGCAAACATTGGATTTACAATTATTGAACATACGCTCGGAAATTTCAAGCCGCTGTGATGAACTTACAAGTACCGTCGAAAAACTGAAAGAAGAAATTATCGTTAAGGATGCTATAATATCAGAATTGATCAACGGTATTCATTCGATTAAGACAACAAACGACGAAATGTACGCAAACGATAAAATATTAAAAGAGAAACTGTTGACCGAATTAAAGAATACTAAACGTGAACTACACGAAGCCAAATATATAACAGCCGTGCACATCGGCCGAAACCACGACATTAACGAACATTATTTACAAGTAAAATGTCTGTATGAAGGTTTGCGCAAAGAAAATGCAAATTTGAAATCGTCTATGGGAATATACCAACGCCAATTGGCAAACAGATCAAAACAATGCACCGACAACGTTAAACTGATGGAAACGCTTCAATCGAATGCGATCGAACAGAAACGGAACGAAACATTATTGGCGGATAAATACGAACAAGCGACTGTCCGAATAGAAAATCTGATCTGTGAGACTAATATAGTTAACGTTTACTTACATATTTACTGTATTTACTCATATACTTAAATGAACAGTGATTTTTTAATTTTTCGAACCTTTAGACAAAACGATTTTTCTGGACAATCGCGTTAAACTGTTAGAGGGCAACTTAAAAGAGAAGTGCTCACAAATTAGTACGGTCGAACGAATTGCTAACGCACAGCTGGCAGAATCTATTGGTATCATAGACAAATTATCGCAGAAATGCAAAGTACGTAGTCGATCGGTTAAACGTTTGTAATTTTAGTTTCGCTCGAATAATTATAAATGCAACATAAATTATGTATACCTATACACAAATCCATATTTCTGGGTGGGGCGCTGCTCACTTATAATATTATCATGTTGCACTTTATAATATTATGAAGAAATACAATATGTACCAGTGACTATTGGCGTTTTGATTATTTATGACCGTAAAACTCGCGAACAAACTAATTTCCATTTGTAAATAGTTTGTGTTATTTTATGATTTACAGGAACTCGAATTAAAGAACGCCAAATATGACGGAATGCAAAACGCAACATTGCGTCCGTCAAACACTATTGACGAAAAAGTTAAGGTAAACGTATAAATAGTGCAGTTACCTATCGTAATAGTTATATATAAAAAAAAAAAACCTAAATAAATGTGTAATTTATTATGAACTTACGCAGGGGAAAATTTATAGTTTGGTCGATCTGGTGAAAAAACTCAGAGTGGAAAATAGGACCATGAGAAAATTAACAAAATAACGTGTGTACGTTGAAGTTCCATTTTGGTTGGTTGGTAAGATAGCGGAGCTCAATCAACTCCGTTGCAAAAGACATACAACTGCGTCTTTTTCTTTTTTCTTTTTTTTATTGTTTAAATTGTTTAATAATTTTTTTTACATATTTAAAATATTTTCTTACTTTTTTGATTTATTTATTTGTCTGTTGTCTATTGGTGTAAAATACTTTCTTATTTTTTTTTTTTTAAATCTACTATCCCCGTGGCTGAGCGAAATTAAAACGAAAAATAAAAGACGGGAATACTTCGCACGTGGGCGCAGCCACTGTTGCAGGTTGAAAGTTGGGAAGGTAAAGGATACAGAAGAGAATTTAATGTATATCTGTAAGCAATGATAAACCATTGCTAACAAAAAAACGATCCTGAGCGGAGTTGCTTTGTCAACAATATTTATGTCATATAGTAAAATAATTAAATAGACATTATATATTTTCTTTATTAATATATTTGTTTAATAGTGCACCGATTTTCCCATTTTCCGTAAGTTTTTCCCATGTTTTTTTCCGTGTTTTCACATTTATTGAGAAAACTTCTTAAAATTATCTCTTTAAAGTACAGTAATTAATTTTTTGATAGAAAAATTGTCCACAGAAAAAAAAAAAAAATCTTTGTAAAACCATAAGCTTCTTCGCTCCACTCAGAATCTAAAATTATCAGACCATGAATATTATGCGAACGTATTAATAACTGCGGATTAAGCGTTTAAGAGTTTTTATCTTAAGTAAGAAATAATATTAAGACACGGCCAAGGTTACAGGCCAAGCATATATTTTTTAATATAATGGTTAATGTAGTTATAGTGTCATCATTTGTGTAATATTTTTTCATTTGTAATGCGTAATATATAAAAATTCATTTTTACCAGACGTTTTTTCGTCGGGCTTGTTGATAGTAGAACACATATCCCAAGGTATACGGAAAAAATAATAAATATTCATTAAAATATTTATATTTATTTTCCAATTTGAAATGGGAATACAATATCATGGAATAATATAAGGCGGGTACGTAAATATACAACTGTTAAGTATTAGGAAGTCCCGGTAGAAATGCTGAAATTCTTTTGCTTTCGAAAATTAAAAATAACAGTGCAATATAATCGGTCGTTAGTTTCAAGTTGTTCAATTGATTGAAATTACCGTTTACACGACATGATACGATATTGTTATCGTACCGATGAGAATTACGTAACAATTTATATTTTAGATAATTTTCCAATATTTAGTAAACTATTAAAACTGTATACGATATTATTTCTACTAAAATTGTATAGCGGCGGGTAAAAAAATATAAACGAAAACAATTGAGCGCAATAATGTGTACGTACACAATGTACACAATTCATTTTTTTATCATTTACCATTTTCAATTTTCAATTTCGACGCGAAAATCATTTCGGAACGTCGCGCCTCTGCCGCGAGAACAGCCGCACACGAATCGAATTATGAACACGTTGGGAAATCGACTGTTAATGTCTCGGCAATACGTTGAGCTAGACAAAATGCAATGTCTAACGCAGCAGCGCGGGTCGGACCCGAACGGAAGTCGCGTCGCGCAAGTGCCGGCAACTGTGCGTTCTCGCATCACGGTAGGCCCCTACCGCGCCTACCGTCCTCGGCGTTAAATACATCGAAAAATCCAACCGTAATGCCGGCTAATACGCCGCGTGACTATCGGATACCGTGTACTGCGACGGCGACGACTCGGAAACGGTCGTTTTTTTTTCTAATCGCGTCGTTATATCTTTCTCGGGATCGCGTGGGGGTGTACACGTCGCGTACGCGAAATCGGATTAACTGCACGCGCACACGACGAGCAGTCGCACGACCGTCGTCTCCGCAGTACCGGCCGTACACGGCGGCGTGTCGGCCGCGATTTCGAGGGGCAATTGCCCGACAATTTTAAGTGGCGGGCGGTTGGGCGCCCGGCGGTCTGTGGAGAAATCGTAGTGCAAGATTAACTTCGTCGGAATACGTCATATGATATTAAACAAGAATAACAAAATTAACAATAAGCATTCTACGTTTATTCACGGGTAACGATAACGATCGACGCCTGAGAGTCGAGGGGTGGTGGTAGGTCATTGAAAAAAAAAAAAAAAATGAATTGTCCCGGGTTTTTTTTTTTTTTTTTTACTTTTTTTTTCACTTATCAATTTCACTTATTCAATTTTTATTCCGCACCGCGCGAAATACGCGCGGGCGCGCGATGTCGCGGTTTCGGCGTCGGACACCCGCCGGATTTGTCGCGGGCACAACCGACGGCACAATACCGTGATCGGCGTACGCGCGGGTTTTCCCATGCGCGTACGCATTGTTGTGTCCCGCGTGCCCGCGCACCGAGACGAACGTCGTGCCGTCCACGCGGTCGTGTACACGTGTGTGTGGGCATCCGAGCGCCGGTCTCCGTCGGTTTTCCCGTTTGCGCTACACGGCGGCCGTAGGCGGGTTATGTTTCGTAATGCGTACAACGGACTTGTACTCGCCGCACGCGTGTTGCCGCGGCCGCGCGGCGTAGTAACAATAGCGCTCGAGACGGAAAACTAATGATTCGATATCGGAGAGACGAGCGCAGACGAACGAGCACGCCGCCACCGTGTTTTATTAGTGGGTACGCGAAATGTAATACCGACGTTTCGCGGTGCGGCGGCGGCGGGGGAGGGGTGGGGGAACGGACAAAAAAAAAAATAAAAACCCAGAAAGAAAAAGTTCTGCGAGTGACTTATTTTCATCTCCGTCCGTTCCGTTTACAACCCGCGGTCTCTGTATCTCTCTCTCTCTCTATATATATATATATATACAGACATATATTTATTATTTACCTATACATAGTCGTAAGACGTTACATAAAAAAAAAAAAAAAAAACGTTAAGAAGAGAATACGCGCTGTACAGAAAAAAAAAAAAAATAAAAAAATACATTGTATTATTATTGTTATTATATCCTACCCACCGGCGTTTATTTGCCGTCGTTCCGAAAGAGCTCGCGGATGTTCTCGACCGCGCACCATGCATAGCTATATGGATATTATTGCGCATTAAATACAGTAAAAACTTTTACCGTGCAACGTTTTCAAACGGGATTCGAATTTAATTTATTATAAACGCGCTTTTTCAACGTTACACACTTTACATTCTCATTACTCCGCCGCCCACCCCCCCCCCCCCCGCCCCGAATCGAATTTAAAAATACCTACCAACGTACAATAACGTTCGCGTTTGTATAAATAACAACGCGTCCGCCCGTCCCGAAACGTCTTCCGCGCGCCGCATACCGACGAGACGCGGCTTTATAGGGTTGACGGGGCAGGGGAGGGCCGGCTGTTACTTTTAATAGAAAAATCAGTAAACGCTTTTCGAAAACAAACGAACGAGCAAACAAACAGACGAACGCACGTACACACTTCAGAATAAGCCGCCTTTTCCCAGATTAATCCTACCACGCGAACAAACCGTATACAGAGTGACTTTGCCATCACGGACCGCCGCGGTTATCCGTGCGAAGATTCCGGGTTGAAATCGTTTTTGGGCTGTTTTTTTCCCCCCAGTCATTATATCGACACTTCAGCGGTTCCCGAACCGTGCAACGCGAGCACGTTCCGGGGACGCAGCGGCAGATACACGGGAAAAAGAAAGTTGTTCGTAATTTATTGCATTCGATTCGTTTTTGTTGATTTCAGTTTGCCCTACACGCGTCCTCGTCGGATTAATTTTTCATTTCTATAGCCGCGGTTTTTCTGCCTCGTAATAGTTTTTTTGTATTTTAGGTTCGGAGCGTAGCAAGGAATCTATTGGTTTTACAACGTTGTTTATTGTTATTTTTATCCGTGACCCACTTTTTTTACCAGAAATCTTACTGGGATTTTCAAGTGTAGTACTTTCTTTGAAATGGAATTTTAGATGGACAATATTTTAAGGAGGTCGTTATTTTGATTTTTCAAGTAGTTTTCATAATAATTGGAAAAAACGTAGGGAAGACGGGAGAACGTACGCACATGTATAAAAGAAACTTCGCTCCGAATCGTGTTTCGTTAGTAATGGTTTATCGTCGCTTACAGACATAAATTTAATTTCCCTTCATATCTATCCTACCTTCTTAACTTCTCATCTACAATAATTGCCCACTCATCGTGCGAAGTATGTCCGTATTTTTTTCAACTGGTCGTCATCGGTCATCATATATAGTGTTTATTTTTTATTCGCGTTCACGAGTGATGATGTTCGACACCGCGGCTATATTTGATGTATAAAATGAGCATCAAACGCTAATAAGTTTAGAAACTATTGGCTTACTACTCGATCAATATTTACAAAATGTTACCCTTATACCGAGGGCACCATAAGCACATATCGGCAACCTTTGATTTCCAAATAACGACTCTGACTCTTGTCGAACAGGATTCGAAGAGATGACTCTTCCGCTCTATATATGATAAACTTCTAACAGTTCTATAACTCATAAACGGCAAGTGCGTTCGACATTAAGCTATTATAGTGCTATACGCGTTCTATAACAATTTCTAGAAAACGTGTAATATTTTATTTTCGAATCTGCGTTGAAATCTCGAAAACGGAGAAGTTGTCTTTTGGAAATCGAGAGTCAACAGTCATTATTTATTTTGAGGTACAATAAGGATTAGGGCCAGTACAGAGATGAACGTTTGAAAAGTGTAATATTGTGCAGCACTTAAATAATACAAAACGGAAATTACACTCGTACTTAAAATCCTCCGACAAAAAACGTTGGACCGTGAAAATCACCCTGTATCTGCAGCTACGCCGTTATACGCGTACCTACCCTGGAT